TTCACTTTATTGGAAGTGGACCAGGTCCCGTATCCCATAAGCAGATATCTGGCTTTTCCTTCTCACTGGGCAGCCTGGTGTACAGCAGCCCTCTGGGACCTGAGCCATCACCAGCACCCCTGGAAGGCTTCTTAAACTGCCCGCAGACACTGTGACTCAGTCAGCCTGGGGTGGGGTCTGAGCCCTGGTGTTGCTAACAAGTTCCCAGGTGGTGGTGGTGGTGGTGACGCTGGCCCGGTGGCCACATTCTGAGAACCACTGACATTCAGAAACCAGTTTTTAATGACTCGCCACACCTGTGTCTTTGGTGCAGCTTTTTGATGTCCTGGTTTCCCCAGCTAAAAACAGGAATAATCCCACCAACCACCAGCTTGTACCTAATCCGAAAATATCAGGTTGATACAGCCTCGCACACAGAAACCTGCAGCTGATCTCGGGAAAAGCGCGTCCTGAAAACTTTAAGATGTGTTCAAATCGCCATACCTGACAGTGCACCTGCCTCGAAGGAGGCACGTGAGGTGGCCCTCCTTGGTGAGCTGCTCCACCAGGCAGGGGCGTGGGCACGTGGCACCCGACACCTGGCAGACGCTGCCTGGGGAGAGGCCTTGGTGTCGCAACCGTGCCCAGCACATGCCAGGCCCAAAGCAGACATGCACGTGCTCGTCCTCACAAACTATCACAGGTACTCGGCACCAACAGTGATGCTCTAAGGCAGGTGACGGCACGCACCGGCGTTTCGGGGGGGTGGCCGGAACATCTCCATCACGTCCCGGAAATGCCTCCCAAGCCCGGACCGTTTGCCCTCTTACCCACCTGTGCCCCAGCAGATCCACAAACGAGACCTCCCAGGGCTACCTGCAGAACAGACCTGGAACCAGACCCCGTCAGGTGACCCTCACCAGTGCTGCATCGGCACCCGCCCTGCCCTGCGGCCACTCCCACAGCAGACAGAGCGAGGCTCCCAGGGCACAGCTCTGCCCCGCTTCGGCCGCTGGCGTGTTTTCAGGTGGCAGAGGAAGCTCGGCGCCCAAGGCCCCCCACGTCTGACCCACCTCTGTGTCCAAGATCATCTTCCGCCCCAACCAGCCACTTGGGCTCTGGCCACACTGACCACCGCCTTCCTCTTCCACAAAAAGCCAAGCGGAGCCAGCTTTTACCCTGGCTGTCACCGTGTGCCGGCCATGCAGTCTCAGCCCAAAAGTCACTTCCTCAGAGACCCCGACCCCACCTGTTCCTCTGCATCCCGCTGCTTTATTCCATTTCTTCCTAGTGCCGGTTATTTGAAAGCATGTTATTGGCTGACTTACGATTTATGGGCTGTGGGCCCCCCATCAGCTCATCAAGTACGTCTCAGTGGGCAGAAGTTCGGTGAGGTGCACGGCAGTTTCCAGAATCCGTCGTGTCTAGAACGGCACGCGATGTGCCTAAGTGGTAACTACTCATAATAAATGAGGTGAATCCACTTCCGGCACGCGGTGTGCCTAGGTGGTAACTACTCATAATAAATGAGGTGAATTCACTTCTCTTTCAGACTGGTCTGTTTTGTAGAATTCCTGAGATGCAAACTCCCTGAAGTATAGTTTTTGCCCGTGGTAATGGGTCCCCTGGGCTCGGTGAGCTCATCCTTGGTGAGAATTCCCTTCCACGTGAGTCTCGGCTCCGGTGATGCCCCACGGAGGTTTCATTTCTGACCCTGAGGTTCCAGCGAGCTCCCCTGGTTCTTCTGTCAGCCTTGGAGAGCAGTTGGAATTTGGAAAGGAACATGTAGCCATGTGTGGTGCAGACTCCAAGGCGCTGATGTCTTGAGGGTGAGTCCTTCCCACCCACGGCCCGGGGCAGTTGTCCAGCTTTGGAGCTGAGGCCCTGTGCTGCGCAGAGATCTGTTATCACTGATGCTCTGAGGCCCGGCTTCGTCCCGGGGGCTCAGTTCTAAGTGCAGAAGCGGCCTGAGATCTCAGCCCCGGGCCCCGCGCAGGGTTAACCCAGGCCCCTGGGCCCCTTTCTGGTTCAGCTGCCCTGTGGTGCCCTCTGCGTCACTCCAGCGTGAATGCTGTCCTGGGTCTCTGCCCCAGCACCCCCTTTTCCTGTGCTGGAGGTCAGCGCTGTGTCCGTATTTGGTTAATGTCACCTCTTACCTGGTGTGTCTGGATGCTCCCAGCTTCCATGCGGACCAGAAGATCCTTCACCTGCACCCTTTCCTTTGTGCTCCTGACCTGACCCTGCGTCCCGGGGACTTCATGTCGTGTGTTCTGCTTTATGGCCCTGTTAACACACCTGTTCCTCAGGCCTGCTCCAAAGCACCAAGCAGGCTGCCGGGCACCCAGGGCACATGCGATAAATACTTGCTCTTAAAGTAAAGAGTGACTTTCAACATTTTGTCACCAATAGCCGGTCGTGCTGGCCGCTGCAGCTCACTGCCCTCCCCAGAGGCCAGTTCATCCTGTCAAACCACAGAGGCTTCTGCGAGAAATCTTCTACCGTAGTAGAGGGGAGGAAGGGTGGTCATTAGGGGGCGAGAAAGAAGGGGCACCTCAATGGCCTTTAAAAGCCAGTGATGCCCCTGGAGCCACTCACGACTACAGGCAGAGGTGGGACACATCTCTTACCGCCGATTCCCTCGACTGGCCCCAGATACACCCAGGCTTCCACACTGGGAAGGCGGGGATACAGTAACAGTAAGAGCAGTAGCTGATCTCTGCAAGCGCTACTGCAGGCCGGACATGCGTCAGGGGCCTTACGTAATAACACAAGGGACAAGTACACGGGTGGGTGGAGCAGGTCTGCCCCATACTGGGGTGCCTGGTGCCTGCGGACGCTGTCCATCTGTCTGTCCACACACACTTCTCACTTACCAGAGTACCCTGGGTACCCTTTTCACCATAAAGTCATATTTTTACATTTGTGTGTTTCAAAGAATTATTATGTTTTACAATGGATTTAAATAAATGAACATTTTTACCTTGCCTAACACTAAACCTTGATACATTTTTAAAATTTAAAATAAAAAAATAAGATAAACAAAACCCCTAATGCTTTCCCACATGGGCCAGGCCCCCAGACCTGCTCCAGGAAACCCTTCTCTGCCTTTTCTCTCTGTCAGGTTTCCTCCTACCTGGGACAGGTGGGAGCAGAGCCTGGGCTGAGCCTCAAAGCCTGGAGGTGATGGAGACAACGCTGCCTATCCTTACAGGTGTGTGAGTCTCCAAGAGGCTGTGTCTCCAGGGGCCGGCAGACAGCACCACTGCCCTTGGGCGCAGTGAAGTCCAGGAAGCCAGAAGAGTGGGGTGGGGGGATTCCTGACTGCAGAGCTGGAGACAGCACAACTCCGGACTCAAGGGTCAGCTGGGTGTCCTCAGCTTTGCCATCTGTACAATGGAGCCATGAAATGCCCAGACCGAATGATCCACTATTAATACAGTGCTTGCCATTTGCCTCTGACACAAACACGATACAAACAAGTGTTAAATAAGGAAATGTCCTGAAATTCCAAACCAAGCAAAGCCCAGCTCTGGACGCAGCAAGGGAAGGACTGGGAAGAGCCTCCTCAGGGATATGAGGATGGGCTGCCCACTCCATCCTGCTTTGGGGAACGACTTCGTTCTTTGCCTCTTAAGACCCTGCAGGAAAGAGCAGGATGTCCCCAAACACGCGGGCTCCTGCGGAACGGGTGCCGTCCAGCCTCGGGTGGGGACGCTTTTCCTGGCAGGTGGCCTTTTTCTCATCTGTCCTTGTAGCCTCCCCACCACTGCCGAGACTCTGAGGACACTGTGAGCGAGAACCCGGCTCTTGAGCAAAAGACACGTGAGTCTGGCTCATGTGATTTCTCTGCTGGGGGGTCTGCTGCCAGGGTGAGGGCGGGGCCAGCCTGTTAAGCTGCAAGGTCGCGCTTTCTTCCCCTCCCCCGCACCTTAGGAAAGGAAGCCCCGTTAATAGCCGTGTCCGCTAGGGCGAGCACTTAAAGCTAAGACACAACTGACTTCTGGCCACAAATCGGGTTTTCATTAGTGACTAAATAACACAAACACAGTGCAGCGGGTAAAACCTCCTCTCCAGTACCTTGTACCCAGTGTGGGCCGGCGGGAGAGTCTGGCACAGAATGGGGATGGGAGGGAAGGAAAGAAAGAAAAGAGGTTTTTACAGAAAGGGTACAACGCTCATTTTTCGGGTAAACATCTCTCTATCCGAGAGCGGTGTTTTTCAACCTTGGCTAAACATTAATCCCCTGAGGAGTTTAAAAGCATCTTCTTGCCCAGGTCATACCCCCAGGCCAGGCCAGTGTGTTCAGTTGTTTTTTCCCTAAAGTCAGCAAGCCAAACACTAAAAGTTACACACAGTTCTAAAAGGCCTAGTGGGCTCGTCCAGAGCAGGGGTGGACAAACTTCTTCTGCAAAGGACCAGAGACTAAATGTTCTCGGCTTTGTAGGGCCACAGCGTCTTGGTCGTATCTGCTCAGCTCTGCCATCGTGGCATGAAAGTGGTCACAGATGATACATGTGGAAACACGTGAGCACAGCCGTGTCCCAACAAAACTTTATTTACAGAAACGGACAGTGGGCCAGAGTTGGCCCGCGGGCCGGCGTTTGCCCATCCCTAGCCCAGAGGAGACAGGGGACAGTGGCTCTGCTAAATCTCTCCTGAACACCTCCAAACACATTTCCCCTCCCAACACGAGACCCCGCCCTTTGCAAACCCAGTCATGAAAAGTCATGTCCAACACCCAGCAAGCGTGTGTTCAGCCAGACCGTGGAGGGTAGGTGGCTGGAGCCGGGCAGGGGCGCCTAGGCCTCGCCCCACTCCTCCGTCTACTTCTGTGTATGTCAGAACGTTTGCCAAGATGAAACGTTTAGAAGAGGAAATTTTTTTAAAAAGAGAGGAAAATTCCCTCATTAAAAATGCCACAAGCTGAAACTGGCGGGACGTCTGGGGACCGCGGGGCCCGAGCCGGGGCGCAGCCCTGGGACGCGACGCGGGTGGCCGGGGGTGGCAGGGAGGGTACTCACGGCCAGTAGAGCAGCATGGGCAGGAAGGGGCAAATGATGAGGGCCTGCAGCACCTGCCAGTCCCGGCACAGGGCGGCCAGCCCGGGCATGAGGAGCTGCCCCGCCGTGGCCACGAAGCTCGCCACCATTGTGATCAGGAACCGCTTTCCCGGGGGGCAGAGCTCTATGCCTGGAACACAGAAGGGACAAGAGAGCCGTGAGCGCCGGGCCAGCATGCTTCCCATCTGGCCAAGGGCTGCAAGGTGGTGCATCAAGGCTGAGATGCTCGTTGGTGCAGCTGGACGAGCTGAGGCTCCCCCTGCAAAGGGAGCGAGATCATTGCTCAGGGTCACAGAGCAAGTCGTGGCCGAAGAACGCTGTGATGGAGAGCGGCCAGCCCAGGAACTAGGAGACGCTGCCTCGCGGGGAGACAGAGCACGTGTGTCACACGCGGCCCCCATACCTTCTGCTCTCTCGGCGTCTCTGAGCTCCCTCTGCCGCCCTTCCTTCCGTCTCCGCTGCTGGACCACGCGGCCCTCCCAACCTCCGCACAGGGCACAGGAAGCCCAGCCCAGCTCCCCCCGCCTCACCACCCCTCCTTCCGTCCCACTGCTCCCCGAGCTCTGAGTTCCAGGCAACCCACTCACATGTGAGACCAAGACAGGTCAGTCGCACCCAACCCATCTTCTGAACAAGACAGAAGCCAAACCATGAAGCAGACTGGATCACGTAGGGCGGATCTCACCCAAGCCCCCCCTCCCTCTCAGAATTCTGCTGCCCCCGTGACCTGGGCATCCCACGCACCCCCTTCAGATGACGGCTCTGCCAGTAGGGGCAGGTCTGATTCACCTTCATAGCTGCAAAAACACCAGTGTCTGCCTTCAATAAATGTCAAGGACATGGTTCCTCCTGTTTGCAAGAATCTATGCTCTTAATTTGACCTTGCGCAAAAAAAGATGGTCACAAAACCTTAAATTGTAGCACCCAAGTGACAACCAGTGCACACCCACTACATGAATTCCTGTAATAAAAGTCCCCAATACTAGAAAACGCATCTGGGTTTTATATATTTTCCCCCTATAGAGCCTGTAATTTGTTTGCTATTCTTCCTCAACAATTTGCAGGATTCCCTAAAGCTTGCTTTTTTTTTCATTTTTTAAAAAAAAAAGCGTAGTTAAAATGATTTTTTTAAAAAAGAATTAGACCCTCAGGAGGGAATACTTCTCACGTCTCTGTATCCAGAGACTGTTCGTAGATCAGTGGCTACAGCCCATCTGCTGGTTGTCCAGAGGCCAGAGCAGAGGTCAGAGGTCAAAAGGCAGTAAGAAGGGAAGCAGATGAGAGGGGGAGGAACAGGCAGGTTACATCTGGCCACAGGATGGAATCGGCATTAACAAGGATCACACACTACGCCAGCCAACAGCTACACCAGCTCATCTGTAAGGAAGAAATAACAGTCGCCCGCATCTCCACCCCTGCCCTGCCGCAGACAAGCAGGTCAGCATCCCAGCCACCTGTGCGTGACAGAGAAACCTGGCCTTGCTAATAAAGAACTTCTGCTATTTAATTAAGAAAATAGGACCAAACGGTTCTCTCCCGGCCATTTACTGTGCTGCTGTTCCTTTCAGCGCCCAGGCCAGGTTCACGTAAAGGATCACTTCCTAGCGGGGCTCGGGTATTTACCCCACATCTGGCGTTCCTTTTTTTTTTAACTTTTTATTTTATTTTGGAGTGTAGCCGATTAACAATGCTGTGATAGTGTCAGGTGCACAGCAAAGGGACCCAGACATACATATACATGTACCCATTCTCCCCCAGACTCCCCTCCCATCCAGGCTGCCACGTAACATTGAGCAGAGCTCCCTGTGCTATACAGTAGGTCCTTGTTGGTTATCTGTTTTAAATATAGTCGATCCCGGGCTTCCCTGGTGGCGCAGTGGTTGAGAGTCTGCCTGCCGATGCAGGGGACACGGGTTCACACCCCGGTCCGGGAAGACCCCACATGCCGTGGAGCGGCTGGGCCCGTGAGCCATGGCCGCTGAGCCTGCGCGTCCGGAGCCTGTGCTCCACAACGGGAGAGGCCACAGCAGTGAGAGGCCCGCGCACCGCAAAAAAAAAAAAAAAAAAAAAAAAAATATATATATATATATATATATATAGTCGATCCCAAACTCCCTAACTACCCCTTCCCCCCCGCCCACCTGGCATTTCCGCTCTTAAAAATAATAAAGAGATCGGGGTCTTTTAGAAAAGACTACCAGTTGCAGGCTTTAGTTTTCACGTATTAAATAAGCACAAGCAGTGGATGCGCTGCTATGGGAACCAGAACTCGGCATCAGCCAGGGCGCGTGTGATGCTCTGAGGCTCGGCACAGGTTAGGATCGGATGAGAAAATTTAGCACTTGGCCACTCAGAGAGGGAGCGTCAAGACAGCATAATGGCTTCACCTCGTCGGGTTCGCTGTTTCGACCGGCCCTGTGCAGGGCTGGCGGTTCTCCTCTTCTCCACCTGGCCCTTAAGTATGAAAATATCTGTGGCTGTCGTTCCGTTCCCCCAGGCCCCCTTTGGGACGTCTAATCCCACACGTCAGTCTACACCACGTGCTGTCACACCGAGGATCACAGGCCACTTCCCACACCCGGGGCGAGGTTTGTGGGCAACAAAGCAGCATCGCCCCTCGACAGGCAGAGGATTCCACAGTCTGGCTCCTCCTCCCTCGACCCTCCCCCCGTGACCACTGCTCAGACGACGATGACCTTGTCGTGGTTCTCCTTCCACAGGGTCTCTCCTTCCTCGCCCGTAAGTGGCCCGAGCGATCCTCTAACTCCCAGGTACCTGGACGGGAAGCATCAGCGTCACCTGGGAGCTTGTTAGGCACACAGAGCCTCAGGCCCCGCCTAGGCCCCCAGGATCACACCTGCGTTTTAACAAGAGCCCCCAGATGCCTCCCTGACAAGCACTGGCTCACCGTGATTCTCCCAAACCGTGGGCATCACCCACAGCAGGAGAAATGCTTTTGTCTCCCAGGCACACGTCTATGAGAGCGGAATAAGTAAAATCATTTCCTGACCTCTCCAGGGCTTCTGTTTTGCTAGGAATCCTAGCAGAGATTTTGCTTTATCTCATCGGGTAGAAGAACGTAGAGCATTCCAGCAGATCTACAGTATTTTAGTATTCCTGCTGAGGCAATGGAAGAACACAGCCATTTGATGTAAGGACACGGGTATGACACTTACAATGACCCTTTTGCCTTGACTCACCAGGAATCCGTTCCGAACTGCCTGAAATCAACTATGTTCTGAAGGTGGCTGTAAGGATGTTTAAAAAAGAAAAAGCAATTATCAAAGCACCTCAGGCACTTTGGGTTTGCCTTCAATCACATGCTCCTTTTGGATGATGAGAAGTCAGCTTTTCTGAAGTGAGGAGAGGAAGGAATACATCAGAGCGTGAACGTCCTAAGTCCCCGCATCTGGGACGGGGTGGGGACTGCAGGTAGATGGTTCTACCCGAGGAAGGTCTGATCCCAGCTCTGCGCACAGGAGCGCTCAACCCTTATCCTTTCTTAAATGCATTTTTAAAAAGCTGTGTATGCTTGCCGCAGGCCCGGGAGCCTACGTTTTCTTGGGATCTCGAAGTGCTCCCAGCTGCTCTGAAATGAGTCTCCAGGTTTTTCTGGATGGCAGTCGGCCGTAAGGAGGGAACACATGCAGCTGGCTGACAGCATCCACGTAGAACGAGGAGGAAGTGGGCCCTGCAGGGGAGAGGCTGGGGCGCCAGTGTGGGCGCACGGCAGGCGTGGGACCCCTTCCCCGCCCCTTCCCGTCGGGTGAAGTCGCTCAGCCTCTCTGTGCTGCTCCTTCCTGGCCTACAAAGTAGATAACATTCCTCGGCCACGAGGTGACGCACATCCAACCGCCATTCAAGGCTGTCGTCCCTACAGACCTCAGGCTCAGGCCGTCTGGGTCCGGCTCCGGGTGGGCTCACGTCCCCCAGAGACTAACGCCACTAAAGTAAGTGCTCCCATGCGGGACCTGAACGATCCTGGGTTTTAGGCAAAACTCGGTCGGAACCGACAAAACGATAGGCGTACAAGCCCCTGTGACAGGATTCTTGGACGTCGGTGGCCTCTGCTCTCCAGGGGATGCTGACGAGGCTGCGTGGAAAGAACAGTCTCCTCTGGGTGACGGTCCCTCTCTCGCTGCCTCTGCCTCCCCTTCGGGCTGTGAAGCCCACACCCACCTCCCCCCACCCTCACGATCTCCTGCACCAGGTCCCCAGGAAAGAAACGGGGAGTCTGGACTGGCAAGAAACCAGCCTGCACGCAGATGCCAGCACGCGCTCCCAGCGAGCCCAGCAGGATTTCAAGCCCTGCTCCTGTCCCCACGACTTCTCGAGAAGCGCCAGCCCCTGCGGTTTCCCTGGGGCGCAACCCGGGTCACTGTGGCTGGACCCAGACGTCACCCCACCTGGGACAGGGGTTGGGGGGACTCAACTCGCTGGAGGAGGGAGACGGGCTCAGGAAGGGACAGTCTCCCCCAAACTGTGTTCAAGCACCAGAACCAAACATGCTTCTGGATCCGCCGGGGAGTGAGAAATCCATCAAAGCCCAGGGCTCCGCCGAGCGGCTCGGCCATTCCCACGACGGGACAAGCCCACCAAGGGCCGCCGGGCCCCTCGCAGCCCCGCGGCCACAGCACAGGCCACTCAGGGGCCACTGGGCCAGACTCACGTCCTTCCACGCGGAGCCCCTCCCTATCCGCCCAAGAACCTCTGTCATCAGCCGAGGAGCTGAGGGGCCGCTGGGGAGAAACTGCCTGAAGCAGGAGGAAGGGGCCCCGCCAAATGGAAGGGGGTGGCATCGCCGTCCCCCACCTCGGGCACCGGCTCCCTCCAGCCTGGCCCGGCCCAGCCTCCGAGCTGCTGATGCCCCCCCGGGCCCGGGCTCCTCCCCAGCAAGGGGGGTGCGCTCACTGGCCGTTCCCCCGACACCCGCCGGCCTCCCTCCTCTTCCCTGCTCCCTGCCCTCACCAAGCTGGCCCGGAAGGGGACACACCACTCTCTAATGACTGCCTTGGCTGAGGACACGGGGCCCCCAGAACCCCGGAAAATGGACCTGTGACATGTGACTCTGCAATTCCTTATTATAGCAAAAAGTGGCCTGAAATCGCCACTCATGGAGACTCAAATAGC